ACAGTACCAACTTATATATGATAGCTTCCATTCTTTAAAAAATGATGGTCAGGTATGATTTGTCTGACACCGTGTGTTATCGTATATGGATATTATACTTTTGGCTTTTCTGCACCTTCATTCTGCTCAGTAACATGTTTTAAACTTTGTTAAATAATGGCAACTTTGTGGTATGCTGTAAAGTTAACCCATTATCCTCATATCAGCACACCTTTTTAAAACCACTTTCTGTTTAAAGGCGATTCATAGTTTTATTTTTACAAGATCCAACTACACTCAAATAGGAGAAATTAAAAAGGCAAACAACAAACTAAAGTCTAGGTGTTCAGGGAATTATGTAAAAATTCGTTAGGGCACTAATACTCATGAAAGGGGTCAGTTTTACATATACATTGAAAAGGCCTTTACTTTCCCTCAGCATTAGGGAGTATTTTAACATCTAATAACTCTTTCTTTAACCTCAAAACATTGATTCAATTCAACTGGACACAGTGGTTTTATCACTGAAGAATATTTAGTGAAAACTTCATTTTAAATTTCAGAAAGAAAACTATATTTGTATTTAGATTATTGAATCCATTGAAATTGCAGTTTCTAAAAGATTTATAATTTTTTTATTTGTAATTAAAAATATTTTTGCAATAAGGTTTTATTGAGAGTGTAATACTTTTTTTATGAAATCCATTTTTTGATTTGAAGAATACTTTTTAATGTCAACAAGACTTTTAAAGAGAAATAGACCAATGGGTATCCTTCCTTTTGGGGAAGGAAAATGTCAGAACCAGTATACAAATTAAAATAAAATGACAGTTCATGTGATGAACCACAAGGTGTCACAAGGTGTATATGACTCTGGTTTCACGTGGCCTATCAACACAATTTAAAAACTGGTATATATCACCTTGTTGCTTTGTCATCTTGAAGTGGTCATGTGATTGGCTTACCACGACTACTATGGCTGTATCCCAATTCAGGGTCTGCAGCCTTAAAGTACGCAGCCTTAACGGTCCACACGGCCCGCATACTCAAAGACCGCTAAGGCCGGAACTGCGGGGCTTGTAGGCTTCTGAAATGGGACGGTCTAGCCTACGTCGCGCTGCCCAGGTTGCCTAGCAACCATGATACTATCCGCTGGAAAAGTTTCATACAGCTTTGTTTTTCACCAATGAAGGCGAAAATATTTTATTTGTTTTTACATGAGCGCTGTGTGATTTGATAAGTATCTGAGGCTGAGACCACGGGACAATAAAAACATAATTGCTGGGCCTTATTTCTGTACTGAACAGTCATTTTAAGATTAGCTGGTAAATAACAATTAGCTCATGTTGTTCATGAGACTACAGTCATCTTACTTTGGTAATGTAAATATAATATGGCCAATATTATAGTTATATTAATCATTACTAGTCATTACGGCAGTGTGCTTGAACTCTGTGTCATTCAATGAGTATCAATAAAGATTCAAGTTGCATTTATTTATATTTCTTATCACCTTAAATCTTCACTCAAAGACAAGTATCTTTGACAGTGTATATATAGATATATCATATATATGAGACAAATATTGTTCTTTCAGTATGTTGGCATTACTAAATTTGGCTCAATGCTTACATATATGTATAAAAAGAAAATGTACAAGCTGTGATAACTGTTTCTGATAAAATGAAGAGTAGACTGATATATGAAATATTCCTTTATTGGGTGAGAAAATCAGACCATGTCATAACTGCTTTAAGTCACACAGAATAGATATCAGAGCCTTAAACAGGCTGACTTCTGCTAAATGGGTCAAACTGGGCAGAAAGTCTACAAACACATAACATCCTTATAGAATATGATGTAACACTATAGATCAACTTACCTCAGAATATATAAAGCACATAAACAATTACAGCAATATGATGCAACAAACACAGCAGTGCTACTAATCCAAAATACTCAAAGCTTCATAGAACTGAAACAAACAGGGGCATTTATTTTTAGCTCCATTCTGCTGCTGATACATACTTTAGGTTTCTGAATATTACACTTGTTGCTGCCTTTCATAGTGTGTAACTTGAAGGCCCTGAGTACTTTCTCCCACACTGAAAACAATGGAATTATAAAATTATTTGAACATTACCTAATAAGACTGATTCAGCACAGACAGTTATGTTAAACTTTCCTAGCAGTCCTTCACAAACAGGGAACAGTCTGTCTATTCTCTCCATCTGTCAGCTGCTGCTGGCTCTTCCTCCTCCTCTTCCTCGCACACTGTTGAGTTCGGTGGATCATCAGGGCTGCAAAGCCTCACAGATGATGTGCAGCAGTGGGTCCTCACTGTTCTCCCTCTGGACACTTGCAGTTGTCACACATGGAAATCAAATGTGTGATAAGCTGCAGGATTCAAACACAAGTGTAACTTATAAATACATGTTCGTACTTTTATTACACAATCAGAGAGAAAGGAAAAGAGAGAGAGTGCAGGACAGACAGACAGGTGACAGTCTCAGGTGTACACACTGCTACAAACAGGAGGATTTAGTGTTTGTGTTATTACGAGTGCTGAACAAGAGTTCCCAAATGGTACAGTGGACACATGTGTGACTCCTGTGATTAAAGCATCTTTCTTTCAGCTTAACGAGTGAACCGTCAGCTCGTTCAAACACACGTTAAAGTCCGTTTGGCTCGACACCGAACAGAGGCAGCAATATAACATAGCGAACATTAACAGTGCAGTGAATCCTGCTTGTGCCGTGATATTCAGGACTGCAAACCGAGCAGCATCACTGACTTTCAGCTTGTTGTGTTTGTGGATATATGACTGACTTTAATTATCCATAAAATCATCACATTCTCCGTAAGATTAAAATCATCTATTGAACGGCATATATTTTAAAGTAAAGGCTTTAAAACCAAGTAAACGCTGAAAGTACAAACATCGCTAATGTCACATAACTTTGTCGACATGTGGCCAACAGTAATGTTTTAATGTTCTTCATTATTAAACATTTGCACATAAATAAGTGACATAATATTCAGTACTTACTTTTAGAAGTTTACTCTTCGACCGCCCCTCTTCCGCCGTTTTTTTCGGCAAAATTATCCACACCCACCGCCGCGATATGAAGTCTGGGATATGTTGGGCGATGGAGGATACACGGATCCATCCTTAAAATTCAGGGAAATGAAGGACGCATTTGAGGGCCGCATTTCGAGCAGCCTGTGAATTGGGACAGCCTTTGTCGCGTTGCTGTGACGTAATCGGCCTTTAAGGCTGCAGACCGTGAATTGGGATACCGCCTATATTCTTCCTCAGTCAAACAGCAGCACTCATGCGATTGTTTTGCTCCAGATGTTGGGCCAAAAAGTGATCGTCGGGTAGGAAGTGATTGCCGTCCGCGGGAGCGCGCGGAGCTGCCTAAAGCTGTAGCGCCCAGATTATTACAGCGACTTCCGTGCGACTGATATAAGGTGCGGTAAGCTGTAGACAGCTTTAAACTTTGTGCTCCCAAAGTTTGGGCGAGTTTTACTGAGTAAATATTTAACTCGTCCACTTTAGGTCAGTGTTATTGCTGGAATTAATGATTAAACCTGTGGCTTAAATCCCTTGTTCACAACTTCAAGTGTATGTCAGTTGGTAGGAGTGATCCTAGAAGGTAAGTAAGCTTCATAATCTTGTGTTACCAACAATCTGCTGTGTTTTTACTTTACAAACATTTGTAAAGGAATTAAACATGTTCTGTTTAAAATACATTCAGTAAATGTTACTGTGTGTCTGAATCAGTGTGGTGGAGGTGAAATGTTGTAACTTTGGTGTTTACAGATTCTACCAATGCTGCAGTGCACATGTCGTAATTAGTCATCCTTTTCGTACTGGCAGCTGACTGTTTTTGCACTTACTTGAATGAAGCAATTCAAATGAACTTTGAACTACATTTCTAAAATTTACATCAAAGTCAGCTTTATTGTCAAAAACCATATGCACAGGTCATACACAGGAATTTGAAGTTTCAATGCTCCCACAGCCCTCGGTGTACACTAAAACAATATAAAGGTTAAAATAAGTCTTATGTACGACACAATACAATACAAAACAGTGTCCAGCACAGTCAGAGTGCTTGTGGGCAAGAGTTCGTGTGCAAGTGGGGTGGGGGAGTCAGTGAGGGGCGATGGTGGAGGTTGAGAGTTTTATAAGTCTGGGAGGTGGGCAGGGTTAAGAGGGGAGAGGTGGATGCAGGTCTGTAGTTCTGTGTGTGAGAGTGGAGAGGGACAGAGCAGGGAGAGAATTCAGCATCCTGACAGCCTGATGGATGAAGCTGTCTCTCAGTCCGCTGGTTCTAGCCCAGAGGGTCTTCAGTCTCTTTCCTGATGGCAGCAAACTGAAGAAACTGTTGGACGGATGGTGGAGTCACCAGTAATGCACCTGACAGCTTCTCGGGTGAGGCGGATGCAGTAGATGTCCTGAAGGGAAGAAAGAGAATTGCCCATGATCCTCTCTGCTGCTCTCACTACTCATTGTAACTTTTTCAGACGGGAGCCATACCACACAGTGATGCAGCTGGTGAGGATACTCTCAACGGTGCCTCGGTAGAAGGTGCTCGTAATGGGGTTTGAGGCTCTTGGTTTCCTCAGTTTGTGGAGGAAGTAGAGTGGTTGTTGGGCTTTACTGATGGAACACTAAGTATACTTACTGTTACTACTTAGTAAAAACATGAATGCTGGAAGGTGAACACACCACAGTTGCAAAGGTATAAGGGTACTGGGTATACAAACTGTAGGATTGATTAGGTGTGCAGGATCAGACCAGCAACACTAAAATACCAAACAAAAATGACAAGATGAGCCACCGGTCAACCTGCCTTAAACCCTGACAACAGGACAGCAGGTGTGACCAAAAGAGGGCGCCCTATGAAATCTGTACTTACAAACTGAATCACAGCCTTTAACCGTCATGAAACATCCAGTTTGCCATTTTGGTCATCAGTTTTTAGGTCTAGAGAAAACATGAGAGACTTTTAAAACAAGTCATTCTCACAGATGGAGGTGCCGCTTCGACCAGAAATGTTTGACTTCCATGGAGTCTCCATGACCAACGTCATCACTGACAACTGGGACAACGTACAGAACTTCAAAGCAAGACCAGATGATATTCTTATCTCTACGTACCCTAAAGCAGGTACTGATGTGGTGTGTGCAAGAGTGTGGAGCTTATCTAATTATAAAATAACTTTTTTTGTTAAAAAATAATTTTAATGTTGGTGTCTGAGTTCACAGGATTCCCACTAAACGGTATACATCCACAGTGTAACCTGAAAAATACTAAAATGATGCTGAGTGTCTTAATTTGGGTTATGGAGCTTATATCTTCATAGTTTGGTATCCCACTGAACAATATGCATCTATCTGTTTCAACCTCAGGAACCACATGGATCTCTTACATCATAGATCTTCTGTATTTTGAGAACATGGATCCAGATCGTCAGACATCCATCCCTCTTCATGAAAGAGTGCCCTTCCTGGAGATCTGCGTACCTCCTCTACCTTCAGGTTGAATCTTGTGACCACCTTCAATTAGCCATATTTGTATTAGACCAGACCCAAAAGTTAGTTTCACTTTGGTGTACTTGTACATTAAGGTATCATTAGAACTGTTCAAACAGAAAAATATTCAAAAATATGTTTGAAATAGGTTCAGTCTTTTTGTCTGACATCTGTTTTGCTTGCATGCCATCATTTTGTGACACGTTTTGTCAGAGTTAGTTATAATATAATGTAGTATAAGGTAGTATACAGGGAGTGCAGAATTATTAGGCAAATGAGTATTTTGTCCACATCATCCTCTTCATGCATGTTGTCTTACTCCAAGCTGTATAGGCCCGAAAGCCTACTACCAATTAAGCATATTAGGTGATGTGCATGTCTGTAATGAGAAGGGGTGTGGTCTAATGACATCAACACCCTATATCAGGTGTGCATAATTATTAGGCAACGTCCTTTCCTTTGGCAAAATGGGTCAAAAGAAGGACTTGACAGGCTCAGAAAAGTCAAAAATAGTGAGATATCTTGCAGAGGGATGCAGCAGTCTCAAAATTGCAAAGCTTCTGAAGCGTGATCATCGAACAATCAAGCGTTTCATTCAAAATAGTCAACAGGGTCGCAAGAAGCGTGTGGAAAAACCAAGGCGCAAAATAACTGCCCATGAACTGAGAAAAGTCAAGCGTGCAGCTGCCAAGATGCCACTTGCCACCAGTTTGGCCATATTTCAGAGCTGCAACATCACTGGAGTGCCCAAAAGCACAAGGTGTGCAATACTCAGAGACATGGCCAAGGTAAGAAAGGCTGAAAGACGACCACCACTGAACAAGACACACAAGCTGAAACAGTCAAGACTGGGCCAAGAAATATCTCAAGACTGATTTTTCTAAGGTTTTATGGACTGATGAAATGAGAGTGAGTCTTGATGGGCCAGATGGATGGGCCCGTGGCTGGATTGGTAAAGGGCAGAGAGCTCCAGTCCGACTCAGACGCCAGCAAGGTGGAGGTGGAGTACTGGTTTGGGCTGGTATCATCAAAGATGAGCTTGTGGGGCCTTTTCGGGTTGAGGATGGAGTCAAGCTCAACTCCCAGTCCTACTGCCAGTTTCTGGAAGACACCTTCTTCAAGCAGTGGTACAGGAAGAAGTCTGCATCCTTCAAGAAAAACATGATTTTCATGCAGGACAATGCTCCATCACACGCGTCCAAGTACTCCACAGCGTGGCTGGCAAGAAAGGGTATAAAAGAAGAAAAACTAATGACATGGCCTCCTTGTTCACCTGATCTGAACCCCATTGAGAACCTGTGGTCCATCATCAAATGTGAGATTTACAAGGAGGGAAAACAGTACACCTCTCTGAACAGTGTCTGGGAGGCTGTGGTTGCTGCTGCACGCAATGTTGATGGTGAACAGATCAAAACACTGACAGAATCCATGGATGGCAGGCTTTTGAGTGTCCTTGCAAAGAAAGGTGGCTATATTGGTCGCTGATTTGTTTTTGTTTTGTTTTTGAATGTCAGAAATGTATATTTGTGAATGTGGAGATGTTATATTGGTTTCACTGGTAAAAATAAATAATTGAAATGGGTATATATTTGTTTTTTGTTAAGTTGCCTAATAATTATGCACAGTAATAGTCACCTGCACACACAGATATCCCCCTAAAATAGCTAAAACTAAAAACAAACTAAAAACTACTTCCAAAAACATTCAGCTTTGATATTAATGAGTTTTTTGGGTTCATTGAGAACATGGTTGTTGTTCAATAATAAAATTATTCCTCAAAAATACAACTTGCCTAATAATTCTGCACTCCCTGTAGTAGTTTAGTATAGTATAATGTGTAGTAATTAATGTTGTTGATCTATGCTATAATAAAAAAGCCAATCATTGCATTTTAACAGTTACAAGTTACTCCTTCTTATCATTTAGGGAAAGACTTAGCAGACAAGCTTGATTGCAAATGATTCCTTCTTATCTCTACCTTACTCAGGTACCGATTTGGCAGACAAGCTTCCCACCACTCCTCGTCTCATTAAAACTCATCTGCCAGTCCAGTTTGTACCAAAGTCCTTCTGGGAGCAGCGCTGCAGGGTAAAAATCATGCAAACCTGTAGTCATAGAGACATGGGATTTATGAAACCCACAGAGCATAATTTAGTTTTGCCTCTTTCTGTAGGTGGTTTATATGGCCCGCAATGCAAAAGACAATGTAGTGTCCTATTTCCACTTTAACCGCATGAACAGTGCCCTGCCAGAACCAGGAGACTGGAGCACCTTTCTGCAGGACTTCATGGAGGGAAAGAGTGAGTTCAGTTTAGTTTCAGTGTAAAGGAAAAATAATATCATCATATTTCCCATGTTAACGTTCCTTTGTGTGTTCTGTGTCTGCAGGGGTTTATGGATCGTGGTATGACCATGTGAACGGCTGGTGGGAGAAGAAGCAAACTTATTCAGATTTTCACTACATGTTCTATGAAGATTTGATTGAGGTACAGCACCGAGTTTGGCTAACGTGTGCCGACTGACAGTTATGTCATCTGCATCAACCACATTTTCACTCTTCATAGCAGTTCTTGCTTCCTCCTCACTAATCCTCTGAACTTCCTGATTCACTACCTGTTTTCCATCTGTCTGCTACCTCTCATATTCTTCGTTCATCAACTCCTCGGAGAACTCCTTCCACTTTTCCACACACACTCTTTATTTGTTAGTACAGTTCCCACTCGATACCGATACTTAATCATCCTCACCTGCTACACATCCTTTCCAGCAAGATCCTTCTAGCAAGCAGGTGAGTGTTCCAGCTCCAGTAAGTCCTTTTACAGCTTACAGGTATTGATGGGACTGAAGGCAGGACAGAAATCCTCAAAGTCCCAGACAGAACATAGAATAGGAATCCAGATGAGGAATGAAGTGGCTACAGCAGAGAGAACACAATATTGATTCATAGGAAACTAAGTGCAGAATTCTAACAATGAAAGTCTGATTACCATCACCGAGGTGAAGACGACCTGGTGGTGTTCTGCTGCCCACCCAGATATCAATACAGTGGAGGAAGAAAGGAAGGTGTAGGAAGGACTGATCAGAAAGCAAAGCTCTGTCCAAAGGTGGAGCCACGTGAAACTCAAAGACATGTTAAAAACACAACAAAAACAAAGAATTATCCATCCTGCCCCAGCTTGACAAGAACTTGACCACTCTGGTATGGAAATCTCCGATATCCATATTATCTCTGTTGATGATATGGATGCTTAATTTGGTAAAAGATTTATGACATTTCCTTCCTTCCTGATGCAACACTCCCCATTTATCTGGGATTGGACCCGACATTAGGAGTTTTGCAAAGAAGAATGGGCAAGGATTTCAGTCTCTAGATGTGCAAAGCTAGTAGACACATACCCTAAAAGACTGGCAGCTGTAATTGCAGCAAAAGGTGGTTCTACAAAGTATTGACTCAGGGAGCTGAATAATTACGCACACCCCACAATGTGGAAAAGTTCAAGGGGGCCGAATACTTTTTGCAAGCCACTGTAGATGTAGTATCAGAAGTTTAAACATTAACCAGCTACAAGTGAGCATTTATTTATTGCCATCATTACTAATAATTAAGAAAAAAAGATCAAATTTGACATCTTCAAATTGAAAGTTCATAAAAAATAAAGAAACACATAAATGAAATCTGTTTTTTTGTTAATCTTGAAGGTTTGACATTTTAAGATGCATAAAAAAAATCAAAATTGTCACATATTTAAAGGGAAGTCTGTCGAATCCTAATATCTCCCAAGGAGAGCATCTCGCACCAAATTTGTCTTGATGAAAAAGTATTATAGTCATACAGTACTACAGACCAAAAGAAGAAAAATTAATAAAATTTAGGGATGAAACATCTCTTTTAAACTCATTCATATTTTCATTTATGTGAACAGGACTATGAAAAAGAAATAGACCGACTGTGTTCCTTCCTTGGTTTGTCTCCATCAGCTGAAGAGAAGGAAAGAATCAGAGCCAGTGTGACGTTTGACAGCATGAAGCAAAACAAGATGACTAACTACTCCACAGCTCGCAAGCTGAACCACGAGGTTTCTCCTTTTATGAGAAAAGGTACAACTTCCTGCTGGGAAACTTTGGTTTTTTCTCAGTATAGGCACTAATATATGTTCAGTTTATTATTAGGATAATCAAATACTTTGAATGTTCTCCTTCTCCAGGAAAAGTTGGTGACTGGAAGAACCACTTCACTGTGGCCCAGAATGAGCAGTTTGATGAAGACTACAAGAAGAAGATGAAGAATCCTGATTTGAAGTTTCGCTGTGAAATTCAAAGAGCGGGCTAGAGCTGAGAAGTGATATGCAATTAAATAGTTAAGAATAAATCAAATATTAAGCCTGAACAACTGAATTCTCTTACATTGTGGTGCTGTTGGCTATCTATCAGCTTAACCTTCCAGGACCTGGCATCCACATATGTGGACATCACATTTTGGGTTGTGGAGACCAAACTACTAAATTTTGCTCTACAAAGGGCCTGATATCTACTAATGAGGACATTATACTGCCACTGTTCTATTGAAATTTAAAATGAATGTCCTCTTATGAGGATCCCATTTTTCTCAAAAACAAAAATCAGGTAAAAAAAAAAATCAGCTAATCCTTTGTTTTTACATTCATCAGGTCCCAATCAGCCCAAATAGCAAAGAGAAATTAAAAATGCATGCCATGAAAGAGTTTGGGTCTTAGGAGGTTAAGAAAAAGGAGGATGAACGAACATGTGTCATTTTTACTGAACATATTTAACTAACTGATTGTTAATGGTTAGTTTGTCTGACTTTATGCTACTGGGTTTGAAATTAAGAGACCCAGCTGGGCATGATGGTGGGAAGAAGCTGGAGTACCAGGAGCGAATCCACACAGGAACCAGAGTTCATTCTGTGTAATTTCCCAGCTTAAAAAACATTTATCCTCAACTTAAACTACACTACCTGAATAACCTAAACTTTGTTTATTTCTCAAATGAATATGTTCCAGTACTTAATAATTTGGCCACACATAAAGTGTAATGTGGGAATGTTTCCTACATAGAATCATAGGTCTGGTATAAATCAAGAAAGAGAAGCAGAAAACTTTTTACATTCACACAGTTATGGCAAGCAGCTCTCAGCTGTGTAGAGATAGTAGGCTGCTGTTGTATGTTGGATTTCATTTTTATTAAACACAGCTGTTTTAATTCTGTTAAAAGACTTGTGTTTTTATTCTTCTGTCATCGATGTGCAGGTTATTGCAGTGTTTACGCTTTTGTACAGCAAAAGAATAAATCCAGCCTTCAGTCTGTTCTTTATTGATTTATTTATTTTGGTCGAGTTGAATGAACCTAGCTTATCTGACTTCATAGCACTGGATCAGTATAAATGCACACATTTCAGAAAATGGTGCGGTGTGTTCCAGTGAATAACAAAGGTGTCACGGTGCGGCATGGCAGACCGTGGGGATATGGGGAATGAGGACCCAGGCGCCGTGCTCTGTGTATAAACAGTGCGTTTATTTACAGTGATGGAAACAATAACAGTAAATCCCCGTGCTCTCCCGTGACTCCCGTGTTGTGTCTTCCCAAAAAGTCCGTGCTCTCCACTGCCGTGTGTCCACACACACCCCGTGCCTGCTGCCCTCCGATGTTCCACGCTCCTCCTGAGGGGAAAATGACAGAGGCAGCCGTCAAGACACTTAATTCCAGTAGGCATACACTCAGACTTTAACTAAGCAGAAGACTAACATGGAGTCTCATGAAATGATCCCGCGTCGGTGGGAGCTCCAAGACTCTCCTAAGTAGCTCCCCCGACAAGCCCTGATCAGCAGCAGGTGTGTGGCTTCGGGTGTGGCCAGTCCCTCCGCAGGGCCACACCCCTCAGGCCTGCAGGTGGCTGAGCTCCATCCTCCAAGCATCCCCGCAGACATAACCCACACACTCACATCTACAATCATGGAGGAGAGCAGCAGCAATACCAAAATACATATAATAATAATAATAATAATATAATACATGACTGCTCAGGGATCCTGGGTCGTCCAGTCCCAGGATCCTGACACAAAGGTCTTTTGTTTGGAAGACAGAAAAAGACCCTCAATAGAAATACCTACATTGGGACTTTGAACAATATTCAACAGAATACATATGCCATGCTGTCTGATATATATGTTTTAAATGTGCTGCATTTTTGCTTTTTCATTTGACATGTTAATGAACAGTAATAAAAATGTTATTTTTCTAACTTCTAACCTTATCCTTCTAAAGTTTGGTCCAAATATACTGAGCAAATACTGAACTCCTTCACTTTAGGTCTGAGTCATTGCTGAAATTAACGATTAAACCGTCGAGTCACGTGCCCTCTTCACAATTTCAGGATTACGTTAGTTGGTAGGAGTGATCCTAGATGGTAAGCAAGCTTTGTAATCATGTGTTACCAACATTAAATCTCTGCCTTTACTTTACAAAAATATTTTGTTTGCATTAAAATGTCCTTGTTTTAAATACTTAAACACTAAAATGTAACGTAAGAATGAAATAAATGTGTCTTATTCATTGTGGTTAGAGAACTCAGCTGGAGGGGAAATGTTGTAATTCTGGTGTTTCCTGATTCTACCAATGCTGGACTGCATCTTGTTTTTTATCATGTACTGTCAGCTGACTGTTTTTGCACTTACTTGAATGAACCTCTTTGTGACTAACATGACCGATATTCACAGAGCAATGTTAATATTATTCAGAGTTTTATTAAGCTAGTACAACAAACAAAAAAACAAGGTGAGCAACACAAAGCTCAGGCAGAATCCAGACAGACAAGGTCCAAACTGCAATCAGAAAGTGAATAGTAAAAACATAAATGCTCTCATAAAAAAGAAAACACTACAGTTGCAAAGGTTAAACTGGCAAAAGTGATGATGGTAAGTTAGAGGTATAATTTCAGTAGGACTTATTAGTGGTGCAGGAACAAATCGTCTCCACTAAACCTGGAAACAACAACCAAACAAACAGCAGAGACAGCAACTCCAGAATGTTGAATTAATAGATTGATGCAGACCTTCATCAGATCTCTTATTAAAAGAAGAAACAAAATCAAGCACCTGGATTCTTCCATGACTTTAAATCACAGATGAGCTGCAACAGTGTGTGACCGAAAGAGTCCCGATGAAACTTCTAGTTTCAGCATAGTCATCAACTCTGGTTTTAAAAACCAGAGGTTGCAAAACATAAGTTACTGTGCAAGTAACAGAAGGATGGGGAAAACATGAAAGACAACTTCATTTTAAAAACAAGTCATTCTCACAGATGGAGGAGCTACATCGGCCAGAACTGTTTGACTTCCATGGAGTCTCCATGACCAACGCTTTCACTGACAACTGGGACAACGTACAGAACTTCAAAGCAAGACCAGATGATATTGTTATCGCTACGTACCCTAAAGCAGGTTTGCTAGTTAGTTAGTTACTTACTTAGGTTATAAAATTGTTAGTGCTTTTTAAATAACGTTTTCCCATTTTAATGTTAACGTGCAAGTTTCCGACTTTACAGTATGCATTGGCTGAAAGACACTATAAGGATGCTATCTGACTGTGTTTATTTGGATTATGGGGCTTATATCATCATGTGCTGATATCACACCAAACAATATGCATTTATCTGTTTCGCACCCAGGAACCACATGGGTCTCTTACATCATAGATCTTCTGTATTTTGGGCACATGGGTCCAGCTCGTCAGACATCCATCCCTCTTCATGACAGAGTGCCCTTTCTGGAGCTCTACGTACCTTTTCTACCTTCAGGTTGACCACCTTCAATTAGCCATATTTGTATTAGACCAGATCCAAAAGCTCAATGTCCTAATTTCACTTTGGTACTTATTTGTCATTAGAACTGTTCAGTCAAAAGGATATTCAAAAAACATTCTGAATCAGGTTACAAATAGTTACAACTACAAATACAGCCTTGTTCAATAGCTTTGTGATGGTTCTGGCAGTTTTATTGGTGTGTAAATCTGTTAAGTTAGTCATAGCACCTCAAAAACACAATGTTTGGGCAATTCATGTTGTTGATCTGTGGTCTATAAAGAAATCTATCTTTGCATGTTCTGTTGCAAATGATTCCTTCTTATCTCTACCTTACTCAGGTACCGATTTGGCAGACAAACTTCCCACCACTCCTCGTCTCATTAAAACTCATCTGCCAGTCCAGTTTGTACCAAAGTCCTTCTGGGAGCAGCGCTGCAGGGTAAAAGCACACGTACCTGTAGTCATAGAGACATGGGATTTATGAAACCCACAGAGTATAATTCAGCATTTCCTCTTTTTCTAGGTGGTCTATGTGGCCCGCAATGCAAAAGACAATGCAGTGTCCTATTTTCACTTTGAACGCATGAACAGTGGCATGCCAGAACCAGGAGACTGGAGCACCTTCCTGCAGGACTTCATGGAGGGAAAGAGTGAGTTTAATTTATTTTTAGTGTTAAGGACAAAACATAATATCACATTTCCTGTATAAACATTCCTTCGTGTGTTGTTCTGTGTCTGCAGAGGTTTTTGGATCGTGGTATGACCATGTGAACGGCTGGTGGGAGAAGAAACAAACTCATTCAAATTTTCACTACATGTTCTATGAAGATTTGATTGAGGTACAGTAAGTTTGGCTAACATGTGTGCCATTTTTGACAGAGATCTTAATATTTAAAATTATCATATAACAAAGGATGTTAAATATGAGGCTGCAAGGCAGGAGGAAAATGTGAAAACCAGAAAGAGTATTCATGGATTTAGTAAAAGAGGACATATGTGTATGATAGAGGAGGATGCTAGGGATAGGGGAGATGATCCACTGTGTCATCCATTGCAAACAAAAAGTGGCACAAAGTAAGTCCCTGAAATAATTTGCATCTTGAACCTATTTGTCACACCTACTGACCGACTTACTGCTCGTTGATCGCCACCTCTCTTCTTAATCTAGCTTCAGTCACTCTTTCCCATATGTTCATGCTATGGATCATTAACTTTATCCCTCTGTAGTTACCACAGCTCTGTACATCCCCTTGTTCTTGAAAACACATCTTCTCCATTTCTCAGGCAACTCTCATTCTCCAGGATGTTAAACAATTTGATTAAAAAGTCCACTCCTCTCTCTTGTAGACATCTCCATACCTCCACAGGTATGTCATCTGGACCACCTGCCTTTCCACTCTTCATCCACTTCATAGATGCACTACTTCTTCTGCATGTCCTGATTCACTATAAGTCCTCAATCCAATCTCCTTCCTCTCTTCTCCTCATTCATTAACTCAGCATATTCTCCTCACTTGTTAATACATTTCTGTCTCTATCCTTAACCGCCCGCCTAACCAATCGATAGGTATTTATTGTTAACCCAGCCCCTGACCTGTTTGGTATGGAAATCTTAATTTTGAAAATCTGCATATTTGATCAGGCAAAGATTGGGTTATGTCTGAAAACTGTAGTTCGCTGAAATGTTTCTGATGCATAAACTGCAAAAAAAGAAAACCTCAGATCCGAGGTTTAATAATAATAAATAAAATACAAAGAATGGTCAAAGTCTGACGTCTTTAAATTGAAAAGTCACAGAGAATGAACAAAGACACAGACAACTAAAATGTGTTTTCACATGTCAATTTATGTTTTCCCTAGTGCTATAAATAAATAGCACTAGAGAGCAGAAGAAAAAAAAAACATACATTCCATGTTGGAGTGAACTGTCCCTTCTAAACTTATTCATATTTTCAATATTGATGTTAACAGGACTATGAAAAAGAAATAGACCGACTGTGTTCCTTCCTTGGTTTGTCTCCTTCAGTTGAAGAGAAGGAAAGGGTCAGAGCCAGTGTGACGTTTGACAGCATGAAACAAAACAAGATGACCAACTATTCCACAGTTCCTGTGATGAACCAAGAGGTGTCTCCTTTCATGAGAAAAGGTCCAACTGCCTGCTGGGCAACATTTGTTTCTCAGTATTTGCTCAGTCCAGTAGTGCTGATCAAATACACTTTTTCTTACACCCTGTCCCGTCTGGCAGCTTTTGTGATCAGAATTGTGATCTGAATGAACTGTGGTGCCAGCCCCAGCCCCACACACACACACACACACACACACACACACACACACACACACACACACACACACACACACACACACACACACACACACACACACAGACCATTTACTCACTCACTCTCACCCACTAATGACACATGACACACACAAACACTTAATGTTGAAGGAGTGTTAGGTGGGTGTGTCGTGGAGCATGAGCGTACAGGACAAGTATGACTGTGGGATTGATCAAATACTCTGAATGTTCTCTTTCTCCAGGGAAAGTTGGTGACTGGAAGAACCACTTCACTGTGGCTCAGAATGAGCAGTTTGATGAAGACTACAAGAAGAAGATGAAGAATCCTGATCTAAAGTTTCGCTGTGAAATTTAGAGCCCTGGCTGAGCGTGATGGAGCTCTGAAGTTAACTAGTTGAGGATAAACCAAGTGTTGAGACAGATTAATTAGTATCCCTATTGTAGTATTAGTATTCCTATATTATAATGCTTATCCAGTTCAGGGTTGTGTGGCGACTCGAGCCCATCTCAGCTATCATAGGGTGAGGCAACAGTGCTAACCAACACACAACCATGGTGCCAAATAACGTATTAACTGAAATTAATTTGATTTTTTTATTTGATATGCTCCCATTTTGATTGCATTCAAAGAGATGCAAAAATGTCTGTTATTGTTATTATGTCTGTTATTGTTATTATCCTTGGATAGCATGCTGTTCAGTAGTGTGTTTAATGTTTTGTGCAACAAAATAACTAAAACTGTTTGCGATTTTTGCTGATAGCATTGAATTAACAGATTTAATCTGGTTTATCTGAATTTATACTACTGGGTCTGGCATTAAAAAGCCCAGCTAGGCATGATGGAGCATTGAACAGATGTGTGCATGTCCCAACAAATAAATAAAAATATATGTATGGATCATCAGAATTAACCACAATTTAACTGACATTCGTTTTGCTGTTTTTGCACTAACCATTCAGTAACAAATAAAGAATAAAAAGGTATATGGTAAATAGAGTTGTAAATATAGACACAACACACAGACCTGGTATGAATCAAGCAAAAGAAGTAGAAAAGAGTCCTTTGCATTGCGGGCCACATAGACCAAGAGAGCTAGCATTCTCAGTCTTCTCATCTTCTTATTGTTATGTTGGGATGTTCAGAATAATTACATACAGCCTTTTAAAATATAATGAAAACCTCTCTTGCACTTCTTCAAAACAAGGCTGATGCTGAAACTTTTCAATGTGAACGGGACTGTGGCCAAAGAATAGGCGGACTGTATTCCTTCCTTGATTTGTCTCCATAAGCTGAAGAAAAAGAAAACAGCCAGAGCCGGTGTGACCTTAGACAATATAAATCAAAACAAAATGACCGACTGCTCCACCTTCCAAACAATGAATCAGACTGTGTCGCCTTTCATAAGACCTGTGCACTCATACAGGTTTGGTTGCTTTTTTCTTTGGTCTGATCTCACTGTATACTATTGTGTTCATGTTTGAACAGTAATACTCACAGACACACATCTAAGGAAGTTGTGCAGTGTGTTTAAGTGAACGTTGTGCAACAAACAGATTTCTTTCTTCTGGAAGATCCAGACCCAACCGCAGTACAGAAATACTCAGCTTGGTGAGTGTGTAGTACATCAAGTAATATTCACTAGAACAAACATGCTAGACTGAAAGATGTGTATCTTTTAAAACTGTGGTGCTTTTTTGTTTTTGTTTGGCGTAAATGGCCAGAAAAATCAAACTTTTCTAACTTCATGCTCACTCACTATATGTCTGAGTCATTGCTGAAATTAATGGTTAAACCGGCGAGTCACGCCTCTTGTTCACAATTTCAAGATTATGTCAGTCAGCAGGAGTAACGCAAGAAGGTAAGCAAGCTTCAGAATGTTTAGTCCCCAACAATAAATCTGTGGTTTTTACTTTATATACAAGTTATTTTATTTAGAAAACAAAATAAATATAAATGTTTATTATCTCTTTTTTTATTATTTAATTTGAATATTAATTAAGTTATTCTTTAAATTTCACCATGTGTCTTGCTTAGTGTGGTTGGTGAACACAGCTGAAAGGAAAATGTTGTAATTCTTGTGTTTCTCAGTTTTACCAATGCTGCAGTGTGTGCTTTGACCTCTGGTTGTATGGCAAGCTGTTATTTATTATTTATTTATTATAATTTTATAAATCTCTGTTAACCCTAAAATCATCAACTAATTAATAATTATTATTACATTAACTACTGATTTTTTTATTGCAATTACTAGTTTAATTTTACTGATGACTCGTTATACCATCTTGCATCATGTCAATATGCCCAATATTCACAATTTCAAAATAATGTTAAGTTAGTTTAAAGCAACACAAAACCACGTGAGCAAACCAACAGAAGGCTGAGGCAGGAGCAGTCCTAGTAAAAACATAAAAACTAAAAAGCAGTAACACTGCAGTCACAAAGGTTAAAGTGGCAAAGGTGGTGTTGGTGAACTTACAGGTATAATTACTGTAGAGCTGATTAGTGGTGCAGGATCAAGCAGAGACAGCAGCTCCAGAATCTTAGATTAGCAAACTCTAACACTGGGATTTACACTTTATCAGATTATGAGATCTGTTATTAAAACGAGAAACTGGATGTGATTCTGATCCTTAAACTGATCTTTAAACTGAATCACAGCCATTAAATGTATATCAGAGGTGCCTTTAACATGAAAATTCCAGTTTAGCATTTTGTTCATCACCTCTGATGTTTAAAACCTGAGGTCACAAGCTAGAGCTACATCTGCCACTGCATGATGATAATCAGTCAATAGTCCACAGCATGAAGCATATACTGTTTAAATTTTTATTTTATTTATAACATAAAGTGTTAAATGAAGGCATATATTAGGATTAGAGTGATTTTCTTTTACACTTCTGTGCTATCGTGCCACTTTCTGCCAAAAACCTCCCTCTGCTGGCCGTTAAAAATAATACAGATGTAAGGATTTACTTTTGCAGATAATCTGTTTTTTCAATCAAAGACCCACAAACAGTTTTTTAAATGTGGACAGTTCCCAAGGACCTTTTTTTTAAACTTCCAGTGCCTCTCTTATGGAACAAAAATGCATCATGTTTTCTAGACCGATGGAAGTTAAAAATATCACTTCTGATCTGTGGGGGGAGAAGTCAGCCTACGCAGTTGTTAAAAATGTTTTAAGCATAGCTTTATGTTGTTGCACAAGTAAGGACTGGAGAAAACACGACATACACTTTGATTTTAAAGGCAAATCATTCTCACAGATGGAGCTGCCACCTCGCCCACAACTGTTTGACTTCAATGGAGTCTCCATGACCAACATCTTCACTGACAATTGGGACAATGTACAGAACTTCAAAGCAAGACCGGATGATATTCTTATCGCAACTTACCCTAAAGCAGGTACTGATCTGTATCTAAAAGTATGGAGCTTGTGTAATCATAGTATTTTTTTGTGTGTGTGTTCATCAACAATTTTGCATTGATGTCCGAGTGCACACACCCCACTTTTCAGTTATTTATTTGTAAAAAATGTTTGGAATCATGTATGATTTTCGTTCCACTTCTCACCTGTACACCACTTTGTGTTGGTCTTTCACGTGGAATTCCAATAAAATTGATTCATGTTTGTGGCTGTAATGTGACAAAATGTGGAAAAGTTCAAGGGGGCCGAATACTTTTGGAAGCCACTGTATGTTTACAGCTAAACATAAAACATTTTGTCCATTTCAACCTCAGGAACCACGTGGGTCTCTTACATCCTAGATCTTCTGTATTTTGGGAACATGAGTCCAGACCGTCAGACATCCATCCCTGTTCATGACAGAGTTCCCTTCCTGGAGATCTGCGCACCTCCTCTACCTTCAGGTTGAATCACGTGTCCACTGTCACTTTAAAATACATCAGACAATTACAATGTTTAGTATATTAACCTGTGGTATCTAATCCTCCTGATAATTCAGGTGCAGACCTGGCAGACAAACTTCCCACCACTCCTCGTCTCATTAAAACTCATCTACCAGTCCAGTTTGTACCAAAGTCCTTCTGGGAGCAGCGCTGCAAGGTCTTGCACATACACCCATAGCCACACAGATATGTGATTTATGAAACTCCCAGACCATAAATTAGTTTTATCTCTTTCTGTAGGTGGTCTATGTGGCCCGCAATGCAAAGGACAATGCAGTGTCCTATTTCCACTTTGACCGCATGAACCTTATCCAGCCAGAACCAGGAGACTGGAGCAGCTATCTGCAGGGTTTCATGGAGGGAAAGAGTGAGTTCAGTGTAGTTTTACAGCAAAGAGACCACACTATTTCATTTCCTGTATAAACATTCCTTTGTGTATTGTTCTGTGGCTTCAGGGGTTTTCGGATCCTGGTATGACCATGTGAACGGCTGGTGGGAGAAGAAGCAAAGTTATTCAAATCTCCACTACATGTTCTATGAAGATTTGATTGAGGTGAGCTGGGCTAACATGTGTACCATTTCCAACTGAGCTCTAACACTTTGTTTAATCATCACACGCCTTTTAGAAGATGCTTAAAATGCCAAACCAAACTCTCAGTTCAACTCAGAAATACTGTCTAAAAATGACATGCATCAATATTCTAATCCAATTACTACATTTTTCTGATTGTACGTGGTAATATTTCTTAAACCAGGCTGTATTTTATTCGTTCTTCGAGCACTGGGTGGTGTGCGTTTTAATTCCACAGTGCAAGAAAAGCCAGCCAGAGCTGCAGATGGGTGTACAAAGAAAAAAAGCTATGACTCGTGAAGACTTTATAATGTTTGGTATCTCTGAAATTCACTGATTGCAAATATTTCTCTAAACCATGTCCAGTATATTTTGTTAATTGAATCCTTTTTGATGCATAAGTAACAAATAGAGAACACACTATTTTCCACCAAATCCTCATCCAGCAAACATCTCTGCTATGTGAAGGGGAAATCCCCACTCAGCATACACATATGCACACTAAAATGTGGGACCTGGCCAGTCAGCCAGCAACATATCAGTTTTTAGCCTGAGATGCTAACCGTCTGTGTGGACTGTATTGGATCAATGATTTGTTGTAAACCTTGTAGACTTATTACCAAAAGTTTAAACATTTATGAATGTGCTACAAGTGAGTATTTATCTATTATCAACATTACTAAACCACAAATAAAGTAAATTAATTTATTGCATGTTAATCTAAAGGTTCTGAAATTTAGGAAACACAAAAGGGTAGAAAAAAATCATATCTAATTTTAATGTGAACAGGACTCTGAGCAAGAAATAGACCGACTGTGTTCCTTCCTTGGTTTGTCTCCATCACCTGAAGAGAAGGAAAGAGTCAGAGCCAGTGTGACGTTTGACAGCATGAAACAAAACAAGATGACCAACTATACTTCAGTTCCAGTGATGAACCACAAGGTGTCTCCTTTCATGAGAAAAGGTACAACTTCCTGCTGGGCAACATTTTTTTTCTCTATATCTATATCAGTGTGTGCTCCATTTATCATTAGGTTAATCAAATACTGTGAATGTTCTCCTTCTCCAGGGAAAGTTGGTGACTGGAAGAACCACTTCACTGTGGCCCAGAATGAGCAGTTTGATGAAGATTACAAGAAGAAGATGAAGAATCCTGATTTAAAGTTTCGCTGTGAAATTTAAAGCCCCAGCTGGGCATGATGGAGTTCTGATCTGATGTAAGTTAAGAAAAATCAAATGTTATACTTGATTTGTGTAATTTTCTTCCACTGTGATGCAGATGCAAATAACAAAACATGAAAAACAATTCATTGACACTGAGGTTTAACCACAATAATAAAGAATTTTAAAAAATCACCAGTATGTCTCTTCTACTTGTGCCACAGCCTTTTGATGATGAAACTCTTTAATATGAACAGGGCTCTGAACAAGAAATACACAGACTGTGTCTTTATGAAATATGGATGGGCATGATGGAGCTCTGATGTGATATTTGTGTCAAGGAATAAATTTTTAATTTTATCAACATAACTATACAACTATATAACATAAAGACTTAGTGGAGGCCATGTATCCACAATGTTATGCTCATAGACATAAATCAGACCATAAACAATGATTGTGACTGAAATTAAACTTTAACCATCGAGCTTAACTTTCTCTTGAGACATACGGTGAACTTATGACGAAGCTTTGTCTTTCTACGAAGTAGAACTGTAGCAATGTCCTCCTTCTCAACATCCATGAATCCTCTCTGTGGTCTTCCTCTTTTCATCCTGCCCTGCCCAGCTTCATATTCAACATCCTCTGCCCAACATATCCACTATCCCTCCTCTGCACATATCCAAAGAATCTCAGCTTTTCCTCTCTAACCAACCACAGCCTCAAATCTTCTTTTTGTAATGCCACTAACATCAAACTATACATCATAGTCTTGTTGTTATCCTTCTGTCACAAATCACCTGTGAAACTCTTCATCTCTCTTTATACCATCCTTTCCTTTGGATGATTGACCCCATGTATTTAAACTTGCCCACGTGTGTCCCTCTCATTCACAGTATTCTACTGGTTGCTTCTGTTGACTATATTTCCTCTTCTCTCCAGAGCATACCTCCACCTCCCCCAGGCTCTCTTCTACCTCCTCCCTATTCTCCCTACAGATCATATCATAGTCCATGAAGACTCACATCTAACCTCATCTGTCAGCAGTTCAGCTTTCAGTCCCATGACCACTACAAACAAGAAGGGACTGAGAGGTGATCCCTGATGTAATCCCACCCCTGCCTTAATCCTAACTGTCACTCCAGCTCCACTGCTCACTACTATCTCAATGTCCTCATAAATGTCACATACTTCTCTGTCACTCCTGACTTTCTCATTTAGTACCACAGTTCCTCTCTTGGCACCATATTAAATACTGTTTCCAGATCCATAAAGACACAGTGAAAGTCCTTCTGCATGTTTTTCTACACTTCTCTATCAACACCCTCAAGAGAAACATCTGCAGTGCTCTGTCTCAGCATGAAGCCATATAGCTGCTCATTGATCATCTCCTTTGTTCTTGACTTAGATTCACAGTTATTTCACATATCTTAATGCTATGACTCATTAACTTTATCTCTCTGTAGTTACTACAGCTCTGCACATCACCTTTGTGCTTTAAAAGTGGTAAAGTACACTTCTGCTCCATTCCTCAAGTGACTCTCATTCTCCAAGATATTTGTTAAACAATCTGATTAAAAAGTCCTAGACTTCTCCACACCTCCACAGGTATGTCATCTGGACCACCTGCCTTTCCACTTTTCATTCTTTTTAGGGCTGCCCTCACTTCCTCCTGACTTATCCTTTGGAAGCTCCTCAAAATCCTCCTTCCATCTTCTCAGCACACTAGCTTAACTCAGTAGTACATTTCCATCTCTATCCTTAATCAACCTAACCCGCTGCACATCCTTTCCAGTTCAATCTCTTTGCCTGTCCAGTCTCACTTACAGCTCGCTACAGGCCTCTTTCTTTTCCTTTGTCACCTCTCTCCCCCTTTTCTCACCTTAACCATACACTTAGCCTCCCAGTACTCCTGACTACTTTCTTCATCTCTATACTTACCCCATTTTTGCTTCATTAAACTCTACCTTTGAATACTTTCCTGAACGTCTTCATTCCTCCACCAAGTGTCCTTGCCTTCTTTCTTCTGTCCTTAAAACTTCAGCTGTCCTTTCCCAGTTATGTGATAACTCTTCTCTACTACCCAGAGCCTGTCTCAACTCCTCCCTGAACTCTGCACAACATTCCTTCTTCTTCAACACCCTTGCCTCTGACCTTCACTTGCTTCCTTATCTTAATTTCCATATCCAGTACTGCCTAGCTACATTATCCTTGTCACCACCTTGCAGACAGCTTTCTCTTTCAGATTTCACCTTATGCTTACGATATAGTCTGTGTCCACTCTTATATGTTATCCCGTGTCCCTCCCTCTTCCTGAAATATGTGTTTACCATAGCCATTTCCTTCCTTTTCACAATATCCGCCACCATCTGTCATTCTCTTTACCCCTGCTCTCTTCACTTACATATCCATTGACGTCTGCTCCAGTTATCAAGCTTAGTCATCCAGCGTACTCCAGAATTCCTCTTTCTCTTCTATCATCCAGCCTGTGAGGCATACACATTGACAACATTCAACATCATGCCCATTTCCAGCTTCAAACTTATGATCCTGTCTGACACTTTCTTCTTCTCCTCTGCAACACTATTCATGTACTCTTCCTTCAACATTACTCCTACTCCATTTCTTTTCCTATCTACACCATGGTAGAGCAGCTTGAATCCACCTCCAGTGCTCCTCGCCTTGATTCCATCTGGTCTCTTGTGCACACAGTATCTACCTTCCTTCTCTCCATCACATCATCCAGCTCTCTTCCTTAACCAGTTATAGTCCCGACATTTAAAGTCCCTACTTTCATCTCCGCATTCCTGCCTCTCTTTCTCTCGCTGCCTCTGAACACGCCTTCCCCCTCTGCTCTTCCTTTGTCTTCGGTCAATAGTAACATAGCTTCCGCCGGCACCCTGGTAACCAACACCACTGGAAGTGGTCGTCGTTAACCTGGGCCCGACCGATCCGGTATGGAAATCTCATAATTGATGATCATCATGTTTGATTTGGCAAAGGTTTTACGCCGGATGCCCTTCCCGACCGAAGATGGGAGTGCAATTTGTGACGGGGAACACCGGCACTGGGAGTACTCTGGCTTGTGGCCCCCTCGTGGCTGTGTTGATTGGTGATATATATATTTACATTTTATCCCAGTCATTATTGTATTTTATCTTTCGTGCAACATGTTATGATCCCTGAAGCCATGGCTCAGAGGGACCTAACATATGAGATGCCAGCGCGCTTTTATAGTTCAACAAATATTTAATAGTAGAAAAATAATTACATAAAAAGACCGAGATGGGAGGCTGGGGCATAAACAAACAAAAGGGAAAGATCATCAACCAACCAGACACTTGGCGATCGGGATTCTACATTAATCCCCAAACTACTATTAGCAAAATTAAACAAAAAGAACCAAAACCATAAACAAGATATCCGGATCCAAGTAACAATAACCAGCACTGCAACAGCAGCTGCAAATTAACGCTGGTGCTGGTGGAGATGAGAGAGAGCGAGGGGGGAGGGAAAGAGAAAGCTCTTGTTCTGCTTTTTCAAGCCTTATACAAAATTTGGTTAATATTTATAGCCAATCAGCGATTGAGAAAAAACAGTGAGCCGAAAACATGGCAGAAAACCAGTATCAGGATGCATAGCACAGCAAAACAATCAAACTTCTTGTTTTTCCTGTTTGATATTTTTACTGGCAAGTTTGGATGAACTTATTTAACCCCAATCATGTGACTTTATATCACTGGTGCATGTGTTCATATTTGAACTGTCAGGCTCAGTATGAATGTAAGGGTACAACAGTCTGCGTAATTCTACGCAGATTTCAGGACGCTGTGCAGCGTGTGTGCTACAGCGAGTGTTACGCAACAAGCAGACTTCTGGGAGATCCGGATCCAGCCCAAGTGTAATACTAATCATCAGGGTGAGTGTGGAGTCCTTTAAGTAATGTTTACGAACAAACACACCAAGCTGTCAGCTGTGCACGTTTTAAAATGTGCAAAACTTTTTATTTGACATATCAGTAAATGAAAACAAATATATTTTTCTAACATGCTGCTAAAGTTAGTTCAGCTTTTACAAAGAAGATTCCGTTTATACATGTAAGCGACCATCAAAGCTTCATAATCACTGGCTGCCAACAATAAATATGCTGTATTTGTATTCACACACACACACACACACACACACACACACACACACACACACACACACACACACACACACACACACACA